ACCTTCCAACCATTTGGTTCAGCCCTGCACCTTTTTGAGAGGAATATAGGCAGCACAATTTAGACCCAGATACACAGTGACACAAATGACTACCGGTGAACCAATTTTCTGGAACCCATTTTATAGCCCCTGGATAAAGCAAGTCCTTTCTTTTCACTTTCCAGAGTCAGCGGAAGTGGGGCAGGGACCTTGGCACAGGGCTTTGGAAAGATGGAATTAGTTAAGGCTCAGGGAGAAGGGAAGCACATGCTGGTGGCGTCCCATCTAGAGAGCACACACATCTGGTTAGGGGGCCAGCTCCCTAGCCCCGCACAGAGCCTTCTTTCTTCCCCAGGAAAAGTGACTCTTTCAAAGCCCCTGGGAGGCGAAGGAAATGGAAAGTCACACAGCATCCCGCGCCCTCCCTGCATTTCCACGCAGGCAGGGCAGACGGCACTCTGAGTTCCACGGGAGCGGGAAGCCCTATGAGCTGCGCCCTCGCCTGGTCCCTGAGTCCCCAGTTGGGCTGGGCCACCGCCCTCCCTCTATGCGACTGGGGTGCAGGGCGCAGAGCTGGGCTTAGCAGGGGCTTTTCTGAGAAGCCGCTGAGCTCAGACCCGCCTCGCTCCACATTCCTGTATGATGAGGGAGGGATTCCAGTGTTTACTTTGAACAATGTTTTCCTGTGTCTGAACCGACTGCGTGTTAAATTCTTCCAGATTTCTGGCCCCACATTGCAGCTCCAGCGGGACAGAAACAGGTTTACGGCCGTTGGCAGAGGCGCGAACACAGGGTCGGTCTGGGCACCTTCTGTGTCTAGAATTTCCACTCCGTGGATGGAAAGACGGGGCACTGCCTACTTGGTGGGCGCCTGCCTGGGAGGGGCTTGTGCTCTGGAGTCACACTCCCGGCTAGTGCCTTTTGCCTTTCCCACCCTAGAGGCAAGCCCTAGCATCTGAGAAGGAGAACCAGCAAGTTTCGAAGGTCGGGCTGGCAGTTTTTTTCTTGGTAGGATTAACCCAGACATTGGCTCACAGGAATTCTTTGGGTGGGATGCTAGGGAACTACCCAGCATTCCAGTTCACCGGCTTGCTGCTGTGTGAGGGAGGGTCAGGGGCACTCAAGGGTTAGGGAAGGAGCTGGCAGAGGGGACCTCAACTCTTGTTTCTACCCAGGAGGTACAGACAGGCCAAGTGACATGGGGGTGGAAAGCTGTCCTGGAAGGGGGGTTCCCGGCTGCAGCCAGAGGAGACAGCTCAACACTGTGCAGCAAGGGACTTGGTTGTAGAGACCTTTACTGTCTATGAAGGCGACTCCCAGCTAAAGGAGGCTGGGGTGGGGCAAGGGGACAGAGGGCGCGTTCTTCTGTGCAGCAAACAGTTGCTATTTTTGTCGTCTGGGGTGATGCACAATTCAGGGAAAATTTGGGGGGGCTCTTGTGAGGATTTGGGCTTTATGGAATCTTTTGTGGAACTCTAGGCTCCAGGCATATACCTGTCAGCACAGCAAAAGAACAGAAGAACCCAAACTCAAACAGGGCATGTGGCAAGTAGACCTTAAAACACACTCTGGTTTAGAAGCTGTGTTGCCAGACTCTGGACGCCTACCCCCAAGCCCCTTTCCCATCATGGGGTGTGTATATGTGCCTATGTGTGAATAAACATAAGCAGGAAAGGAAGATTGGCTCTGGGCTTCAGGGTGCAGGCAAAGCCCAGTTAGTGGTTGTGTAGTGATACTGGTACAATATATTGTCCTGGGATCAGACTTGGTATTTTGATCTTGACATTTCACAAAACCATTTTAATACCACAAAATATTTTACTTGATCTTCAGAAAAAAAAAATCACAAAATTTCAACTTTTTACGTGCATCAAGCAATGTGTGCAGCAAGTTCACTAACACCTTCCGTGCCTCCTCTTTACACCTGGCTCCATCCCTTCTCCAACCCAGATCCCTCTGGCAACGTCAATAAACCTGCCCTCATGGCCTTGTTAATATCGGCTTTATAGGAAGGGTATCTTCATTTCTGTAGCATGCAGTAGGCTTAAGTTCCTTACTTGTCACAAACCTAACCTGACAAAATCAACCTGAGTTTCTTTCCACTCACAGTTTGAGGGTACTGTGTCCATCATGGCCGGAAGGTGTGGTCAGGGGAAGATAAGGCAGGTGGTGCCACTGTGTCCCCATTCGGAAAGCAGAGAAAGATGAATGTTGGTCTCAGCTTGCTTTCGTCTTTTCCCCTTTCCCCCCTTTGTCATACAGTGGGGACCTCGCCTATGTGTTCTGGTTTGTTTCTCCATTGCTGTGACAAAACACTGACCAATACCAACTCGGAGAGGAAAGGGTTTATTCAGCTTACATCTCCCAGGCTGCAGTTCATCAGGGAGCCCAAGGTAGGAACTCAGGGCAGGAACCTGGAGGCAGGAGCTGGAGTACAGACCATGGAGGAATGCTGATTACTGGCTTGCTCCCCTGGCTCCTGCTCAGGCTGCTTTCTTATGCAACACAGGCCCACCTGCCCAGGGGTGGCACCACCCACAGTGGGCTGGGCTGGGCCCTCTCACATCACTCAATAATTAAGAAGATGCCCTACAGACATAGCCACAGGCCAGTCCAATAGAGGAAATTCCCCAGTTGAGGTTCCCTCAACCCAGGTGTGTCAAGTTGACAATAAAGCTATCCAGCACAGGAGAAGGTATCATATTCAGAGTGGGTCTTCACTCTGTTAAATCTCCCTGGAAATAGCCTCATAGTTGTGTACAGAGTTGTGGCTCCTAGGTGATTCTAAAGCCAGCTTAGGTGACAATGAAAATGGAATATATACTTACAGAAGTTCACTTCTGTTAGTGGAAAACTGTATTGTCTCTAAGAGATGGGAATGGAATGAGGGATCACCCAGTGAAATTTCTCCCAATGCTGCCAGAGTAGGAAACCCTTCTCTGTCTCAGTCTCACAGGCAGGGTTTTTCCTTGGACCATCTGGTAAAGGTCTTGTATTGCTTATCTCTTGCTGTGTAACAAATTACCCCAAATTTAGTAGCTTTAAACAAATACTTTAATCCCATAGTTTCTCGGAATCTCAGGCCTGCCTGCCTATCTCTGTCTCCTGATCGCTCTATCAAGCAACAATTATAGTTTTGGTTGGGGTTACGGTCTCATCTGAAAGCCAGACAGGAGAATTCACTTCCAGTTCACCATCTGGTTATTGGCAACTTAAATTCCTTAGAGGAGATTGAACTAGGGGCCTCAGTTCCTTGCTGGCTGTTGGCTGAAACCTCCCTGAATAACTTGCTATGTGGGGCAACTTAACATGGCAGCTTCCATCTCTCAGAATAAACATCTTGTGCAAGAGAACACTTAAGATGGAAGCCATGGCTGGGGACATGGTTCAGCAGTTAAAGTGCTTGCTGTACAACTGTGAGGATCAGAGTTCAGATTCCTAGAATCCAAGTAAATGTCAGGTGGGCAGGGTGGCCCACATATGATCCCAGCATTGGAAGGTGGATATGGATCCCCCAGCAAGCTTCTGTGAGACTAGGCATATCAGTGAGCTCTGGATTTGATTGACAGACCCTTTCTCAATAAGGAACCTGAAAGAAAAATAGAGGACGATATACAAACATGTTCCTACACACATGCAAACATATCCATGCCACTTATATACACATGCATTAAAAATGGGAAGGGGGGGTAAATGATAGAAACCAAAGATATTATAACCTAATCTCAGGTGTGGACCCTCTCACTCTCACTTTGTCTATATTATGTTAGAAGTAAAAGTCTCCAGATAGTACTTACTTAATAAGAATGGATTTTATAAAGATTTGAGGTGTATCACTGGATACCATCTTGCAATTTGCCTAGCACAGATCTATGGCTGCAGTGGCTGATGAGTCTTTATTCAGCCTGTGTGCCCTGCTGTCTAGCAGTTCTGATAAGCCATAGGCTGTGTGAGGTGAGGGGAAGAGCTCTGTTCTATCACTCCTCTTGAGAGGTAGATTCCTTTACTGGTGTAGCATTCCAAAGGGGTAAATATTTCTGAGATTCTAATCCAGTTATACTTAACTTCCACCCCATCCTGTTTCCATCCCAGAGGAACAAGGTGAGTCCAGGACTCCATCAACACTGGCCTCCCCTGCCTGTGGTCTTTGTTGCTCTCTGAATAACATGACACTGTGTGTTTTGGAGTTCAGCTTGTCCTTACCCTGGAGAGCAATAGATAGATAGATAGATAGATAGATAGATAGATAGATAGATAGATAATAGATAGATAGTAGATAGCCATCATTATAAATCAAAGAATATAGTTTATGCCAATAGCTCAAGGTGTTTGGTCTTTAAGAAAGTCAGCAGTTAGAATGCTCTTTGTAAATTATATCACATCCTATGAGTCAAGATGCTGCCTGTCTCCAAGATGAGGAAACTGAGGTTCAGAAATATTCAGGAAGTTGTTCAAGAGCACATATAAAGAGGTATTCTAGTTTCATTCTATAGCTGTGATTAAACACCATGACCAAACGAAACTTGGAGAGGAAATGTTTTATTTGTTTTACAATTCTAGGTCAAAGTCCGTCACTGAGGGAAGACAGTAGAGATATTCAAGGTAGGAACTTGCAGGCTAGAACCATGGAGGAATGCTGCTTACTGGCTTCACACACGCTCACTTAGTTAGCTCTTTTTTATATAGCTCAGGGAGGATATGGCCCACAGTGGGCTGGGCCCTCCCATATCAGTCAACAATCAAGACCATTTCCCACAGGCATGCCAACAGCACAATTTGATCTGGGAAATACCTCAGCTGAGACTACCTCAGATGACTCTAGACTGTGTCAAGGTGACAGCTGAAGCTAACTAGGACAAGAAGTAAAGCTGAATATTAAAACTAATTTCCCTTATTTCCAAGTTTTTGCTTCACCCTGTGACCCTGCTAACATTGCTCGCATACCTAAGTTGCAGATTATTTCCGGGAGGAATCTAATGAGACTTCTTGACCCAGTTTTGCTCATTAAATCATTGTAGACTATGGCTTCAGAGACGCTTGAAGAGAAACAGATCTCAGACGGGATGAGTGACGTCAAAGGTGTGAGTGGGGTGGGAGACCGCAATAGACACAACTGGTACTTACTCACGTGAATGTGTATTGTATTCATGAATGCACATGTATGTGGCTCATACACATTCATGCCAAGGACTATGTAAATGTCCTGCTGTGTGTGTCTAAGTGCCTACATAAACCTCTGTGGCTTCACATGGGCACAGATGCCTCAGAGTTTCCTGGGCTCTGCGATAAGCTCCAGTATTCTTTAGGTAAGCAGAAGGTATAACTAATACTCTTGCCACTTCAAAAATGAAGTGGATGGTTGAGATGAATAATGTGTGGATGACAGCTGTAGTGAAAAGTCCGTAAGCACATCTGACCTATTGTTCTAAAGATCTTCCTTGATTTCCCACTCAGTAGCTCATTTTTGATGGGAGGAACTTTGCCACTAATTTGTCAAGCCTGATCATTGGATCACATTGTGTTATCATTGTGGTAGGTGCCCCAGCCTGAATATTAACTATGATGACAATAGCCTAACTAAGAGGCTTTTAGCACATGGCTATACCCTGTGTTCAGGACCTCATGTGACTATCTCATTAAATCTATGAGAATCCAAGGATGAGTCCCTCTTACTGCCTCTGTCTTAAAGGTAAGTATCCTGAGGCTTATGACTTTTAAGTACCTTGTTCCTGATCAAACAGTCATGTTCCTGGGCTTTCTAGAACTCATGCTGTTAATTTTACACTATGCTTTATTCAAAATGAATTGCTTAATATGCAGTATTATTACAATGGGAACAGTGGTGAATTCTTGTCAGCTGCCCTTTGGAGCAGCAAGGAGAGGCCTGGCTATCAAAGGTCTAGCCTTTGCCAGGAAGAGGACACCCACATGACACTCTGGAAGGGCCTGTTCCTGGATTCTAAAAGTATTTGATACATCCTTCCACCATGCCAAGGAGACACATTAAAATCTTTGTTGTTTAGTTGGATCTCTGACTCAATAGAAATTCATTTTGTCAGAACTTCAAGATTTCCTGGCATGTTACCCACACATATTTTCTATGTGGCCAGCAGTTATATTGTGTTGTATACTGTCCTAGTTTGTTTCTTCATTGCTGTGAAAAAATACTCCGACCAATACCAACTTGGGGAGGACAGGGTTTATTTGCCTTACATCTCCCAGGTCGCACGCAGTTCATCAGGGAGCCCAAGGTAGGAGCTCAGGGCAGGAACCTGGAGGCAGGAGCTGGAGCACAGGCCATGGAGGAACGCTGCTTACAGGCTTGCTCCCTTGGCCCCTGCTCAGCCTGCTTTCTTATGCAACACAGGCCCACCTGCCCAGGGGTGGCACCACCCACAGTGGGCTGGGCCCTCCCACATCACTCATCAAGAAGATGCCCTTCAGACATGGCCACAGGCCAGTCCAATAGAGGCAATTCCCCGATTGAGGCTCCCTCAACCCAGGTGTGTCAAGTTGACACTAAAGCTATCCAGCACATATACTGTTTGTATTTATTCAGGCCTAGAAAGATCCCTTATGGAAGTAATAATTTTAGCTTTCTCCTCATTTTGAAATGACCTCTTTCCTGGTCTCTAGGGAATAGAATACTGCTCTTTTCACTTTGAATTGGAGGCCCCAGTTTCCTGCACCTTCTACTGTCCATTCTCCCCAGAATTATCTACTTTATTACACTCTACCTTTGCCACTTTATGTTCCTTATTCTAAACTTCCCAGGCACCTAGTGAAATGAGCTGTGCCAAGGATTTCCAAGAGCTTAGCAAGGCGAGGAAGGAAGATTAGAAGGAGGTAAGCAAGCCTGGACTCAGGCTTTGATCACAGCTCATCCTAGTGATAGATAGCCTGTGGGCTAGGAGCCCATTGGATTTCGAAGACATTATGTTCAAACCTTAATAAGGAGAGAGAGAGAGAGAGAGAGAGAGAGAGAGAGAGAGAGAGAGAGAGAGGAAGAAGGAGGAGGAGGAAGAGGAAGAGGAAGAGGAAGAGGAGGAGAAGGAGAGAGAAGAGATACCAACCAACACATAGTGCGATAGGTAACCTGAAGAGATGGAGTACATACATATAAAATACTTGGGAGTAAAGGGCTGAGCTGGCTGCCTTCAAAAAGAATCACTAGGATGATTCTTTGTATCTACAAAGAGATATGAAAGCAGAGAGTGTAGGTTTCATGAATTTATAAACATCGAGAGGGAATAAAGCGCAGGCACATGGGAAAAGGCCACTAACAACATACAAAGTTACCCAAGTGATGCATTTAGTAGTGCTGAGAATCAGCCAATGTTCACAGGTGTGGAGGGCACAGACCTCTCATTGGACCAGACAGGAATGGAAGTGGAGGCTTGGAAGAAGAGCAAAGTAGGGCTCCAGATAAAATTTGGTGCGCATGAACCATTTCATATTAGATAGGGTTTCATTTTACCTTTCAATGAAACCCAGATCCTGGTGTTTGAATTTCTGCTCTTTATTGTAATGTGCCAGGCCCTTCACTTGAGGCACCTCATTCAGTTTTCACAATAATCCTATAAGGAAGTAGGTGTACCATTCATGTTTCCCAGATGTGGAGAGTGTAAGGCTCAGGGGGAAGGGGAGTGTGTAAGTGATTTTTTCACTGTCTTAGCTTTTTCATCACAGTGACAGAACACCTGACAAACAACTTAAGAGGAAGATTTATTTTGGCTCGTGGCTTCAGAGTGTCCCTGGTCACTTGGCTATGTGTTTCTGGGGCCCATTTTGAGACAGAACATGATGGTTATGTGAGTGTGACCTCTTTCCTGATCTCTTCAGGAAAGCTGCTTCATGGCAGACAGGAAGCAGAGAAAAGGGAGAAATAATGGGTGAGATAGGGTCCCAAGGAATGTCCCCGTGACCTCTGTCCCCTGACAAGGCTCTATTTCCTACTTTCCACCAATAATGCCACTGTACTATGAACTCATTGAAAATTTATCCATGGATTAGGTCAGAACTCTCCTGAACTAATCATCTTTTAAAACGCCATCCCAGGGCCTGGAGATATAGTTTAGTGGTTAAGACCACTGGCTGCTCTTGCAGAGGACCCTGGTACAGTTCCCAGCATCCACACAGAGGTTCATAACCACCTGTTCCTCCAATGCCAGGGGTTCCAACACCTTATTCTGGCCTCTGTAGGCATCAGGTATGCGCATGGTGAAATTATATGCATTCAGGCAAACATGCATACACATAAACAAAATTTAAAGAAGAGAAAAGAAACACGACCCAGAGGTGTGCTTCACTAATCTCTTAGGTGCTTCTTAACCTAATCAAGTTCAGAAAGCTAACCCATTCCATCAACAAGTGAAGCTGCCTAGGGTCTGTTCTTGAATCCTTTTCTTTACTAGGTAAAGAATTAGGAGACAAGAAGTTTGCAATCACAGCACACAGCCGAGTTTTATTGATGCATAAACAACACTCCATACAGTAGAGACAGACTCCCCACATGGTAAGCGGGTCCAGAGCTAGAGAGAGCACTGTCTACCACTCTGAAGAGTCTGGGCTTTTATATTTTATAGGGTAGGAGGTGGGACAGGACTAGGCTCCCTCTTCCCCCTTTGGAGTGGACAGGGCAGGATGCATGTTGTTGGTCGGTTTTTTCATATGAAAGCAGGAATCTGATTGGGTAGAACAAGGACAAGAAATTTGAAATGTCCACAAGCTCCTCCCCCACCTGTGGGGGTGGAGGTGGGGAAAGCCCAAAGCCCACCAAAAGGGCCAACTTTGGACAAGTACCCTGAAGCAGACCATCTTGGATACAAGTGAAAGTAACTGGAACACAGCTGAGTCTAGTCCAGGCTTCCTCTCCTGCCTGGGGCCTCCCCCTCTGACTATCTGCCTAATTCAGAACTACCTCCCTCCTATTCTTCACAAGGAGCTGTGCTAAGATTTTAACCTAGGCCTTCTCATTAGCTGATTTTTGTTTTTCTTTGTTGTCATATTTTTAGGGTAATAGTCCATCTTTCTTTTCTTTATTTTGTTCTTTTCAGATTGGATTTTGCCCAGGCTAGCTTGGAACTCACTATATGACCTAAGCTAGCCTTAAATTTACAGTAATCTACCTGCCTCAGCCTCCCAAATGTCGAGATTACAAGTATACTCTGCCACACCCAGCTAGTTCTACCTTTTAAATCTGAGTGTAATAGAGGCTATAGTCAAGTCAGCCAACCCACGTTTCTCACTGTGTGAAGCATCACTGAACAGCTGTGTGAACATTGGATTCTTGGAGAGGTCAGAGAAGGTTCCTTGTTATAACTGCTTTCATGAAACTTACCTTCTAGTCTAAAAAATATAAAGGAATGAGTAAGCCATAGAAATGTCAGGCAGGGTTAGTGATGGACAGAGAATTAAAACAGAAGTGACAGTCACTGGTGGTTATGTTAGTAGTGAGGAAAGGTTTTACTGAGGAGATATTATCTAGTCTAAATCCTGACTTATAAGAAGGAACAACCCATATGAAGCTCAGGGACAAGGGAAGTGCAGGCTGGAGGGCACTAGTGTGGAATTGGGGGTAGAGCAAAGGTAGAAGCAAGAGACCAGTTTATAGGTTTAGCTAATGATGTCTTGGACTGGAAAGTTGATAAGTTAAATAATAGTTGGATATGGGGGTAGGATATTAGACTGAATGTGCTTAGTAAAAAAAAAAATACAAAAGGATCAAAGACAACATTTAGACTTTGAATTGAGCCAGTCGGTGGTGCAGATCTTTAATCCTAGCTACTCAGAAGGATCTCAAATTCAAGGTTGCCTTGGACTACAGATTGTGTTTAAGACCTGGTCAACTTAGTGAGACCGTTTCTTAAAACAAAAAGCAAAAAGTGCTAGAGTTATAGCTTCGTGATATAGTGTTTGCCTAGTGTATATGAAGCCCTAGGTTTAATCCCCAAGGATTAGAGGGGACATTTTAGAGATTATAGCCAAGAGTTTGTTAGAGCCATAAAAGATCTGAGGTCTTATTAGAGATGAAGATATAGACATGGCACTAGAGTTTAGTGAGATATAGAGTCAAGTAA